TTAGACAATAAGCATAGTGTGTCTGATGATGTTTTAGAAAATTACAAAAAAAAAAAAAACCTGAAAAAACAACAAAAAAGCATAATGAGAGTGATGGGTTGTAAAATGCCAGTCAGGGTAGGCCACCTGTAGAAGGTAAAACATGAAAAGAGGTGTAAAGTGGGTGAGGAAGTTGGCTGTATATAGGTATCTGAAGAGGAGTACAGTACAGGGGACAGCTACTTAAAGGCCCTAAGGTGGGGATGACCCTGGTGTGTCAGGAAGAGTCAGGTCAGCTGAGTAGAACTGAAGGAAGAAGGAGAAAGACACACATTGTTTCTTCTGGTAGATTTCTGTGGCTCCCTGGGAGCCTGTGGGCCAAAGTGCTTCTCCACTCTTTAGTAACCTTTTTTTTTTTTTTTTAAAGTTGTAGATGGATATATAATAGCTTTATTTTACTTTTTTATTTTTATTTGGTGCTGAAGTTCAAACCCACTGCCTCACAGGTGCTAGGAAAGCACTCTACCATTGAGCTATAATCTGATCCCTAGTAATTAGCTTTTTCTCAAAGAGTTTTAAGAATGTTTTGTCATGCGTATAAAATTCTTCAGCCTAACTTAAAAGCCATATCATTTTCCAACATGTATCTATACCATTTCTTTTTCTTTCTCTTTCTTCTTTTTTTGGTATTGGGGCTTGAACTTGGAGGCACTTTACCACTGAGTTATATCCCAGCCCTTTTTATTTTTTATTTGGAGAAAGGGTCTTGCTAAGTTGTTAAGGCCTGAGGCTGGCCTAAAACCTGTGATCCTCCTGCCTCAGCCTCCTGAGTTGCTGGGATTACAGATATGCGCTACCACACCCGGCTATTTTTCTAATTCTCTGTTAGTGGACTTTTAGATTGTTTCTAAGTTTTCATCACTATACAACAGTACTATAATGTACATCCTTTTGGCTAAATTTTTTACTGAATCCAGGATTTTTCCTGATTCCTAAAAGTCAGATTGCTGAGCCAACGTGAAAGTAGATTGTAAAGGTTTGTATTGTGTATTGCCAACCTTTTTAAAGATTGCCATCACACCCAGCTAAACCTCATTAGGTACCCACCTACCCCCCACTTCTGCCTTTCACACTGTCCCTCCTGGTTCCAGGCTCAAGCACAGACATCAGTGAGGATTGGGAGAAGGACTTTGACTTGGACATGACCGAAGAAGAAGTGCAAATGGCACTTTCCAAAGTGGATGCCTCCGGTGAGGTGAGTGGGTGTGATTGGCCACAGGCAAGCCAGCCTAGTGATGTCAGGGTCTGAGAACTCTCCTCATCAAGCTCACTGTCCTGTCAAAGTAGATCCCTGGACCTAGCTGAGGTGGCAGGCTATAGGAAAAGAGCTGGGACCTCCCACTCAGGTCCATGACGATCAGCAGCAGCAGGTTCTGCTTCCCATCAGTTTTAGGGTGGATGGAGGGAGAGTTCTTAACCATTGCTCAGAATCACACTCACCTCAGGAACTACTTAGAAATAATAGATGCTGGGCTGGGTATGTAGCTCAGTGATAGAGCACTTTCCTAGCATGCCAGAGACTCTGGATTCAAGACCCAGTACAAAGAAAAAAAAAAAAAAAGAAAGAAAGAAAGAAAAAAAAATGTGGGCAGATTAGAGAGACATATGAAGGCTTTGATTTTTCATGTTGGGAAACTGAAGCCTCAGGGCAGGTAGTAACTTATAAGAATATTTTGCACCTGTTGACTTCACTATACTTAGGACATAGAAGGCCCATGGTACCCTGTCATGCCACGGAGACTTACTAGCTTTTTTGTGTTTTCACAGTCTTCTTTAAAACCTGACATGCAGGCTGGGCATGGTGGCACATTCCTGTAATCCCATTGGGTGGGGGAGGCTGAGGCAGGAGGATTGCAAGTTCAAAGCCAGCCTCAGCAACTTAATGAGGCTCTAAGCAACTTAGTGAGACCCTGCCTCTAAATAAAAACTAAATAGGGCTGGTGATGTGGCTCAGTGTTTAAGTGACCCTGGGTTCAATCCCTGATACCAAACAACAAAAAAATAAAACCTGACAAGTAGCCTGGACATGGTGGCACATTCCTATAATCCCATCTACTCAGGAGACTAAGGCAGAAGAATCACAAGACCCTTTCTCAAAATACATTTTTTTCTGGGTGCAGTGGTACACACCTGTAGTCCCAATGACTCTGGAGGCTGAGGCAGGAGGATCACAAGTTTGAGGCCAGCTTTAGCAACTTAGCAAGGCCTTAAGCAACTTTAATGAAACCCTTTCTGAAAATAAAAAATAAAAAGGGCTACGGATATGGCTTAGTGGTAAAGTACCTCTGGGTTCAATCCCAGTACCAAGGCAAAAAAAAAAAGAACTGGGGATATAGCTCAGTGGCAGAGCACCACTGGGCTCAATCCCCAGTACTGTGAGAAAAAAAAAAAATCCTGACGTGCAGCTTTGAGCAGAGTCATTCTATAAAGCCATCATTTCAAACAGCAGGTGACAGTAGGCCTAAGAGCAACAAGGCAAGAGAAAGTTCCCTGGGGAGACTTGAGCTGGGAGTTAGGATGCTGAGCCCTTAGTGAAGATCTCCTGAGCACCTATAATCCACTGCTACCCTGCTTTCAGTCACAGGACCACTCTGAAGTTTTCTGCCTTTCTGAGGCATGGCCTTAATTAAGCTCACAGGAGACAAGGTTTCCTTAAGGGGTGGGCTTACTGGTTTCTTAGGCAAGGTGCACCCCTTCAGTGTCCTCCATTGACTATGGTGGAAGCATTTCTGATGGGTCTGAAACAATCCGAGCAGCAGGCCTGTCCCTCAGGCAGAGGGCAGCTCTTCGACCCAGACATATCCCAACTTACTCCTTAAGACTAAGGGCTCACTCTTACAGGATCAGGGTATGGCTCAGGGTTGGGATAGAGGGCAGCTATCCAGAAATGGAGGCAGCTTTGCTCAGCAGGAGTCTGGGCTTGACAAAAAGGAGTAAATGTATGTTTGTGCTCTTCATTATTCCCTCCCATTTGCAGCTAGAAGATGTAGAGTGGGAGGACTGGGAATGAGGGGAACCAGAGCACACAGCTCCCCCACTCACGGCACCTCCCACCTCCCTCGCTCATCTCAGCCCAGCCCTGGATGACACTGACTGAGAATGTCCCCCAAATGGCCTCTGCCATCCAGACCTCTGGTGGCTCCCTGCTGGTCCTTTGAGCCTCTGCTCACACCTGGGAAGGGGCTGTCTAAATCCACGCCCAGGACTCTGACTCCTGCCAACCTTAGGATAACCTAAGGGTAGGACACCACCCCTCACCGGAGAGCCTACATTTCCCTGCTGAACACTCACTGCTCCTGGGGCCTCCTGCTGGGAAGCCCCAAGGGGCAGCTCCAACCCTTCTGTGAGCTGACAAGCCGAAGCTGAACCACCGGTCTCTGGGAGGAAGCCACAGCCGCACATGCTGTCCACCCACAAGCAGACAAGGAAGGCAGTGCCACCTGCCCTTGGCTAAACAGGGACAGCAAGCACATGTTGGTTCCTATGCCAGTGGATAAAAGGCACTCATCTCTGGGAAATTTGCCTATCTTGGGAATCTTCCCCTCCCAGGCATTTTCCATTCCTGGAAAGGTTCCTTGGGATTCAGAATCTAGAGACCAAACCCTAACCCACCTCCTTCCTTTCCTCCAGACCCCACTGGGATGTCCCTGTATTTTTCCAGGGCGGCTTCATGTCAAATGCACCCAAGTCCTTAGCCCAGCTGTGCCAATGCAAGGGTCCACTCTTGCATTTCCTCCTCTCCTCAAGAAGGGAGGGGGCCACTTCAGGCCCCTCTGTGCATTGCCTGGCAGGACGCCTGGTCCAAGCAGCTACCCACCTCGACTTCCCTGTAGCTTAGGACACAAGCCAACTACCAGCGGTACAGAGCAGTGAACACAGGTGAGGTAAGACCAGCTCCTCCCGCCTCAGCCCTCTGCTTCCAAAGGGATGTGCCGGGGCAAATGTCCTGAGATTCCCTGGGCTTCTGCAGAGGCTCTCCTCCTGGAAGACGGAGCCAACCTGTGGCTCCCACCCTCCACTTTGGTGAAGCCACATCTCTTATGGGGGGTAGTGAGGGCTGCAGGGATTCCTGGAGACCCTGGTGCTTCACGGTGCAGCTCTCGTGATTCTTGTACATAAGCTGGTGTGTCCACCAGTGATTTAAAGGGATTGTGGTCAGGGATGCCAAGAGTGGGGCACTGTGTATCAAATGTTGAGTGAGGGGGTGGGATGAAGAGAATACTGATTCCTTTTTTTTTTTTGATGGGATGGGGTTTTTCTCTTTGTAATTATTTCTTTAGTTTAATTAACCTTTTGGTTGTTTGTGCAATATTATATATTTTAAATTATAATGCATCTCCCCAGAGTATTTTGTAGCCAGGAAAAGAAAAAAGGAAAAAAAAAAAAAATTCTAACAGCTGTTAGTTTTGTAATTAAAAAGGAAAGAAAAAAGAACTTTGTCCTGAACCTTTTACAGAATTGCCGTTAACAGCATTAAAGAAATTCAACAGAAGCCAGAAGGTGTCTGGGGATCTGTTTCTGTCCCCCAAGGCAGCTGCACTGGAGCCCAGGCAGGACCCACACACTGCAGAGTGGCTTCCTGCTTGGAGCTGAGACAGAGGCATTGGGGGTTTGGTCTGGGTCCTAAGGAAATCAATCCCTTGACCCCATGTCAGACTTAGCTTGGTCTCTGGGATGAAGAAGGGATGGGGCCCCGACTGGCTTCTCACCAAGACAAGGAGCCAGGAGGCCATTTCTGCATTCCCAAGGCTTCTGCTTTTATTTGTAAAGGAAGTTGCAGCAACAGTGGTTCCAATCACTCTTGTCATTTTTGTTTTCCTCTCCTCCCCCTGTGTGTGGATGATTCTGGGGTCTAATTTAATTAACTTTGGTTAAACACCTGTATGAAAATCACTTGTCAGCCATAACAAAAGGGAATGAGGCCCTTGGTTCCATGGCCCTTGTGAGGGAAAGAGTCGTCTAGGGAGGGTGTAGGTAAGCTTTAGTATAACTAAACAAAGTGTAAAATATATATCACCATTTTAGAAGCGGGTTTTGGATTTGCTTTCTCCCCCTACTTTATTGGGGAGGACTTGCCATTGCTTTTATCAAGTGCTTGCTAGCCATGGGTGCCAACTAACTTCTTCGATTGAAGGCCGGAGGATCATGTCTGGTTCCAGGAGCCGCTTGAGCAGGTCCTGGCATTCGGTCGAGATGCCCAGATGAGTGGGGAAGGACACCCCCTTCTGCTGCTGCCACAGCATCTTGGGGATGTCTGTGTCATCAAAAGGTAGGCTGGCACAGAGCATGACGTAGAGGACCACGCCCATGCTCCAGATGTCACCCTTCTTGCTGTCGTGGGGAATACCCTGCAGCACCTCAGGGGCGGCATAGGCTGTACTGCCGCAGAAGGTCTGGCTCAGCTCCCGGCGTGACTTGGGTAATACCTTGGCAAAGCCAAAGTCGGTCAGCTTGAGGTTGAAGCCCTGCAACAAGGCGTTCTCACATTTGAGGTCCCGGTGGGCCACGCCACAGCCATGGCAGTAGCGGATGGCCTCGACCATCTGGCGGAAGAGGGCCTTGGCCCGGCTCTCAGGCAGTGGCCCCCCATTCAGCACGCAGTCAAAGACGTCCCCTCCCTCAGCCAGTTCCATCACCAGGTAGATTTTCCCATCTGCAGACTCCAGCATCTCATACACCCGGATGATGTTTTTGTGGTCCAGGGTTCGGACAATCTGGAGCTCCCGAGGCAGGAATCTCTGGATAAACTCTGAGGAAACAAAGAGAGATGTACATCAAGATCAGAAGGGCCTAACTCCTTACTCCTGACTCTACCCGCCATGACTGGGTCTTATTCCTGGGTTAAATAGTTTTAGATATGTCTAGTGGCTTAAACATTGCAAAGTATATTCACTTATTATCTTTTTAATACATTATTCAGAGGAACTACTCTCTGCCAAACTCAGGGACTACTGTGAGACCACAGATATTAAGCTGCTTTGGGGACTTTAGAGGAAGCCACTGAATCTCAGGAGACCTGATTTGCCCACAGGGTGGAGAACCACCTCCTCCTACCCCTACCTTCTGACCCACAGTTCTTTCCAGAAGCCCAGTCTTCCTTTTTCCAGCCTCCACCTGCCTTGGAACCAGCTCCTGCCCTCTGTTAGCCCTGGCTGTGGCGTCTCCCAGTCTCTGTTCCCCTCCTGGAATAGGAAAAGCCCCAGGACTCTTCACTTTGTGCCAATTTTATCTTGGATTTGAGGTGTGATGTTCTTGGAATCCCAGCATCCCTGTCCCCCACTGACCTACCCCAGGGCCATAATCCTCCTCGGTTCCGACTAAAAGGAAGGAGGGAGATTTCAGTGACTGGAGGAAGTACCCACCCACCTCAGCCAGCCCTCCCTTGCTCCAAAGGGGCCCCAGCTCACCTTCTGGCCCTCCCATCTTGTCTATAATTTTAATTGCCACTTTTCTTTGGTGTTTTTTGGAAAATGCTTCTTTGACTTTTGAGTAGGTCCCTTCCCCAATGGTCTTGCCCAGCTGGTACCCATTGGAGAGCAGAAAGTCCTCCATGCTGTCTAGCGCCTCCTTCCTTCCTATCACCCTCTCAGCTCATGCTGCCTCCGCGAGGCAGCTCTACTCCACCATCGCCCTTGGCCTGCTCCTTTTCCCCCCAAGGACTTCATCCACAGCCGCCCCCAGCGCTAGAACATTCTCCGTCTGGACACAGCCGCGGGTGGTGGGGAGGGAGAGGGTGAGACATTTTTAAACTACGGACCAATTGTGATGTAAATGCTGTGTGACCCTTGGCCAAAATGGGCAATGGCCCTACCTGCCCTCACCACCACCACCACCAAACCCAACATCTGTTAAGTCGCCGCCACCGCCTTGCCCGCATGCCAGTCAGTGAGTGGCAGCCTGGTCGCGGAGGGCGCCCGGGGCGTCTGCATGGGCCTGGGATGCCCAGCTCCTCCTCGTGGAGGCTGCCTGCCCGTAGGTAGCCCTCGTCGCCTGCGCCCCCACCCGGCCGCCGGGGGTTCTGCGCGACCCGTTCTCCAAACACCATGCTCTTATAGTTCCCCGCTGGGGCCCGAGCTGAGTGCTGGGCGGCCCGGGGCGACAGGGGGTTCTCCGGCGGGAGGAACAGGCTCTGTGAGGTCAGCACGCCACGACCCGGGTCACAATGCAGCCCTCCCCCTCGACGCCCGGCCTCGGGCGCACCGCAGACACCTGCCCGGCTCCCCCTGGACCGGAGCGTCCTCCCGCGGCCAGGGCTCGGGCAGCTGCTTCCAGCCTGGGACCGGCCTCGGTATCGGCCTCCGGCAGGTGAGCAACGGCCAGGGGGGCGGGCGCGGGCAGGGGGCGCACGGCGGCTCGAGAGCGGCCTGACCACCACTCCCCGCGCAGAGCGCCCCGGGGCCTGGACATGAGTGCCCAGGAGCCGCCCCAGGGTCGGAGATTCCCCATTGAGGCCGGAGACTCCCCTGGCCTTGCCGCCGCCCCCGAGTCCCAGGACAGCCCGGAGCCGGTAGCTACGGAGCACAACCCGGTCAGGTGAGACCGGCACCGCGCCCCGCCCCGCGGCCCCTCCTCCGGGCTCCGCCCTCCGCCGCATTGCCCATCCCCCGGGCCCTGCATCCACGCCCCAACCCCACAGGAGCCCGGGGGTGCCCCCAAAAGTGTAGGCCGGGCCTCAGCGCCCCTGGTCTCGCGCCGCTTTCCCCAGGCCGCTTCGACGCTGCCCCGGCTGCCACTGTCTGACGCTGCTACACGTGCCCATCGACGTCTACCTGGCCATGGGCGGGAGCCCCCGGGCCCGCGCCACCTGAGTGCGCCTGCGCAAGGGGGCTCCGCGGGAGCCGGGCGGGACGAGGCCAGCCGCGGGCCACCACACAGAGGTCGCACGCTCCGAGCACGAGACAATGATGCACATTTTAAAATAAAAGAATGATGCACATTTTAATAAAGCACAGCATAAACTGTTCTTTCCATTCCGGGCTGGCCGTGTATGTCTGTCCGTCTGATGGGCTGCTTGCCTCCTCCCGCGGATCTGACCCTAGGGGCCCGCCCTTCCACGTCTGCCTTTTTCTGGCCCGACGCCACCCTTCTCCCTCCATTTCTTGTTGGTCATGTTCCCCAGGGTCCTGTCATCGTCCATCTTTCTATCTCTGTCCTTGGGTCACCAGTGAAATTCAGATTACTACGCTGGACGATGGCGACCTACTGAATCCAGGGAGGGACAGGTGGGCAAACGGAACTTAGAAAAAAGACTGGCCACACCAGGCTCATGTCATTCTCCCAAACTGGAATTAGGTTTTGCTGTCTGCCACTTTGTGATCACGGGCACCTCTGGCTCTATTAGAGGGGTTAGGGTCTGAACCAGTTCATTTTGAGTAAGATTCTCCTAGGACTGGCGGGATCACAGAGAGCCTGGGAAAGAGATGGTTTGGAAAACTGATTTCTTCCTTATTTTACAGGTGAAGGAATTGAGTGATGCTGGCACACTCCTCAGTGTCCTCAGGCTAAATGCCTTTAAATCCATCCGTAGGAGGAGCCCATGACTCGAAGGCTGCCCAAAGCTGAACAAGTATTTTCTGCTTTCCAATTTTGCTTTAATGAACCTTATTATTTTTATTTGGGGGGGGGGGAATGTAACCCAAAGATCAGGTTAGTCTCCTGTCCCCAGAGATCTAAGCACAATTGACTCAATAGGCCTCCCCTAGAAGTCCAAGCCTCTCCCAAGAGCACTTCAGATCCCACTTCACCTGAAGGGGACACCCTTCTTGGTTTCCATGCAAAATGCTCTCCCAGGCCCTTCCAAACTGCCATGCCCCAAAGGTGAATCCTTTCCATGCTTCCTTTTTGTTTTCTCATCTTCCTTACTTCTTTAAAAAAAAAAAATTGTAGTAGTAGATGGACAGAATGTCTATTTTTATGTGGCTAAGGATCAAACCCAGCAGTGCCTCACACATGCTAGGCAAGCACTCTGCTACAGCCTTAGTCCTCCTTCCTTACTTCTTTCAACCCCTCTTCTCAATTCTCTTTTCCTTGAAAAACACAGCCAGGTGTAGTGGCACATGCTTGTAATCCCAACAATTAAGGAGATTGAGGCAAAGGACTTAAAGTTGAAGGGCCAGCCTAAGCAACCTAGTGAGACACCGTCTCAAAAATTAAGCCAAGCATGGTGGCGGGTGCCTGTAATCCCAGTGACTCGGAGGCTGAGGCAGGAGGATCACAAGTTTGAGGCCAGTAGTGAGACCCTAAGCAACATATGGAAACCCTGTCTCAAAAAGTTTAAAAAAGGGGCTGGGGATGTGGTTCAAGTGGTAGCGCGCTCGCCTGGCATGCGTGTGGCCCGGGTTCGATCCTCAGCACCACATACAAAGATGTTGTATCTGCCAAAAACTAAAAAATAAATATTAAAATTTTCTCTCTCTCTCTCTCTTAAAAAAAAAAAAGTTTAAAAAAAGAAAGGCCTAGGGATGTGGCTTAGTGGTTAAGCACCCCTGGGTTCAATCCCTAGTACCAAAATAAATAAATAAAAAGTCTGGGGATGTAACTCAGTAGCAGAGAGCCCCTAGGTTCAATCCCCAATACCAAAAAAAAAAAAAAGCAAAACATTTACTACTGCTACCTTCCACGAGCTTGGTTTGTGAGGGATGTCAAGATTCCAGACACTGATTGACCTTGCCAGTGGTCCAGATCTTGGGGGGCTAGTTAGCTCTAATATATCCATGAGCAAGGGGAAAGGGGTATTCCAGGTGGAGAAAACATTGTGGGCAAAGGCCTAGAGGCAGGAAGGAGAGAGGGTCAAGTTCAAGAAATTCAGTTCAGTGTTCACCAACACCTACTTGGGCCATGCTATGTGCTGAGAGTTCATGCCTCATGCAGGGAATCCAGGGATGGGTTAGTGAAGCTGAGTTAGGAGTCCTCCTAATACCAGGCTGAGGAGTTTGAACTTTGATTTGTAGGTGACAGGGAGTATAACAGGCTCCAACCAAGGTCACTTCATTCTCTCATTTATCTTCTCCATGTCCATCTTGTTCTGTTCTTTCTCTTTTGCACTGGAAATGTCTCTGGCCTAAACTCTAGTCCTGAATTCGAGTCCTGCCTCTGCCACTTACTGACTGTATGAACTTAGACTTCTAAGCCTCTCTTAGCCTCCATTTCCAAATCTGGAAAATGGGGTTAATGACCCCTGCTGCAAAACTTCCATAGGTCATGCTTGTACAGTCCCAGGCAGTACATGAGCAGGCCACAACTGCTGCTGTTCCAACCTTGACTTCCAGGGGCAACAGAGAGACAGAGAGCCAAGGACAATGTCTCCAGGGGCTGGGTAGCCAGCCCTGCAGGGGGTTGGGAAAACCCTCTTGCCAACTTCCCTGCAGTTCTGCTATGGAGTCTAAGAATGGGGTGGGATTGGGGGGCATTTGCAGAAGATTCCCCAGGTGGGAAGGGCAGAGCTGCTTTCTTCACCCTCAGGGGTAAAGCTTTTCCTGGACCCCAGTGCAGGACCTCTGGGTCCCAGCCTTTTTCTCTGGGTCTGAGCAATGAGGAGGGACTCGGGGAAGGGATATGTTCAAATCACTTCCTTTCCTGACTTCTCTCTCAGACACCTTATTAGCTGGCCCCTCCCTAAGGAACCCCCTTTTAGAAGGAGGGGGCGAAGTACAGATGGACCCCCCAGGTTACCATAGAAACGGCAGGAAAAGGGTTGCTGTATCGTCATGGTAACAATTGACGTCAGCACTACCCTTTCCTATCGCTTGATATGAGAGGGGGGCAGCCACCCCAACCAAAAGCAAATCCCCCACAAAGCCTCCTCCCCATGCTGAGCCAATCAACCAAGGGTCGACAGGCTTAATATAGCACAGAGTTAAAAGCACAGACTCTGATGTCAGTCAAACCTCAGTTCAAATCCTCTCCCAGCCTCATCCTAGCTGTGTGAATTTGAGCAAGTTCCTTAACCCCTTGAAGTCTCATAGGTGCAATGGAGATAAATGAGCCTCCACAGGTTTATGATGAGAATTGTCCTGGGCCACGCAGGTATCAGGTGTGGGGACTAGTCCACAGGAAGGGCATGCAGACATTAGTTTATCATCTTGGGACCTGTCAGGGGTTGTGGTTTCTAGAGGGACCCCAAGGACTGGGCTAGGTTTGAAAATCTCAGGATTTGGGGTATTGTGTTAGAACCAAAGATAGTGGAATTTCCAGGCTCTCAGGAAACCCCAGATGCCACTTTCCCTGAAACCCCATCATATCCGGGTTCTGACCCAACTTCCTCTTTCTGCTCCCAGCTGTCTTGTACTATGTCTTATCAGCAGACTTCTACATCTCTTCCTCCCCCCACCCACATTGGTACCAAGAATTGAACCCAGGGACATTTAATCATTGAGCTACATCCCCAGCCCTTTTTATATTTTATTTAGAGACAGAGTCTTGCTAAGTTGCTGAGGCTGGCTTTGAACTCCCAATCCTCCTGCCTCAGCTTCCCAAGCTGCTGGGATTACAGCTGTGTGCCAATGAACTAGGCAGCTCTCTCTCTCTCTCTCTCTCTCTCTCTCTCTCTCTCTCTCTCTCTTTTAAGAGAGAGAGAAGAGAGAGAATTTTTAAATATTTTTCAGTTTTCAGTGGACACAACATCTTTATTTTATTTTTATGTGGTGCTGAGGATTGAACCCAGTGCCCTGTGCATGCCAGGTGAGCGTGTTATTGCTTGAGCCACATCCCCAGCCCCAGCCTTCTCTCTCTTGAGCTTCCATCTGCATCTGCTTTATAGGGGAAAAGGATGGGTGACAAACATCACCCATGGGCAACCCCATGCCAGGTGGAACCTTGGATGGACACAGGGAGATGGGTGTCCCAGTTCCTACTGTCCTCTCCCCACCCACCTTTCAGGTACAAGGACCAGAGACTTTCTCATTCCCTCCCTTTTCCCCACCCCCCAGCCCAGGCAACAATAGTTCATTCTGCCCCATTTTCACTGCCAACATCATGAGGGAGGCCCCCATCTCTAGCCATCTGGATTCCTCCAGCATCCCCCAACCAATCCCCCTACTTCCTTCCTTGTTTATTCCTCCAGTGCAGAATTAGTTTATAAAGACCACAATCTCAGGAAGGGCATGATGGTGCACACCTGTAATCCCAGCAACTCTGGAGGCCAAGACAGGAGGATCACAAGTTCAAAGCCAGCGTCAATAACTAAGCAAGGTCCTAAGCAACTTAATGAGACCCAGACTCAAAATAAAAAATAAAAAGGTTGGGGGTGTGGCTCAGTGAGTTCAATCCACTGTACCCAAAACAAAAACAAATGAATAAAAAACCACAATCCCAGCTATGTCATTTCTATTTAAATCTCATTAATGACTTCATGTCTTTTGTCAGGCCACAATGGACACACTCAGCTCCTCACAAAAATCTCTTCCCACTTTTAAGCACATGTACCTTCTGCCTGCAATAACTTCCCTCAAAACCCCACTTTCCCTTCAGGTTCACCCATTGTTACTTCTCAGAGAAGGCTCCTCACAGCCATCCATCTCCTCCCATAGTAACTGCTTGTCCCAGTGTCGATGATCCCAGTTTCATGCCCCTATGGACTCACGAAGGGCTGGGACTGTGTTTTATGCATCTTGACATTCCCAGGTCTATGATGGGAGGGCTCAGCAGTCTGCAGCTTAGACCAGCTGGTGAATAACTGCTTGATTAGTCCACAGGGGTGAGGCTAGGTCCTGGTTAGGAGCTACCTGAACTGGCCCAATGGTGGGAATGGCTCTCATAAGGAACTGAAACTTGGACTGAAGGGTGAGCGAGCAGTTACCCAGGCAAAGGTACGGAGGTGGGAAATGTCCTGGCACTGAGATTGGCAAGTGATGTCTGTGAACTTGGTGTTATGCAGGGGGATTGTCATATTCATGTTTGGAAGGGCAACCCTGACTGCCCTGTGGGGACAGATCATATGGGGGTGTAGGATGCAGCAGGGAAAAGGGGGGCTGTTGTAGTCCCCAGGTATAAGGTAAAGGGACCTTCACTGGGCCAGGTGTGGATAGTGAAAATGGAAACAATGGGGTTTTGTTTCATTTTTTCTTTCTTTGTGGGTGGGTTTATGTGTCACTGGAAATTGAATCGAGGAGCATTCTGCCTCTAAGATATGTCCCCAGCCCCTTTTATAAAATTTGAGACAGTGTCCTGCTAAGTTGCCGAAGCTGGCCTTGAGCTTGCAATCCTCCTGCCTCAGCCTCTTGAGTAGTTGGGATACAAGCATGCACCACTACATCTGGCTAGCAATGGGGTTTTAGATATGTCCTGGAGAGGACAAGATTTCATAACTTCTTCAATAAGAAAAGGAAGAAACAAGACAGTCAATCTAGAACCAAGCTCAGATTTTAGATTCAGACAAATGGAAAATGGCCAAGCTGGGGATGTGGAATGGAAACCAGATGTGGGACATGTTTGCTATGAGGCGGGACATCCATTGGAGGGCTCCAGGAGAAGGGTGGGCTGAAGAACAGAAGTGTCTGACCTAGGTTGAATGCAGAACAAGTGGGAAGGAATAGGACTCCAGACACAGGTTGTAGAGGGCCCAGGAACAACTGTGATTAGGTGGTGAGCAGAGGATGAGAAACTTGCCATGGAGCAGCAGCAGCTGGTGAGATAGTGAGAAAATCAAGAGTGCACAGTGTCCTGAGAAAATCAAAAGTGTACAGTGTCCTGAAAACCAGGGCCCAGCAGTATCTCAATAAGAGGGAGTATTTTTGACTGTGTTGAAGTCAGCCACTGCTAAGAGGTCAAGTCAGATAAAGACTTGCAAGCATCCTTTGGATTTATGCAACCAAGAGGTCAGTAGTGACCTTGAAGAGCTGTCCTGTCCTATGCTGGGGGAGGAAGCCAGATTGCAGGGGTGGGAGGAGGAAGTGGAAATAACTTGTGCACACAACTCTTTGAAGAATGTTGGCTGTGAAGTGGGGGCTGGAGAAGGGTGTGGTTGAAGGAGGGCTTTCTGTTTTTTCAAAGATAGGAAAGACTAGAACCTGTTTGCTTGCTGATGGGAAGGAGCCATCAGGGAGGGAGAGGCTGAAGATGGGGAAAAAGAAAGGGATTGGAGGAGGGAGATTCCCCAAGGAGGGAAAAGAGATTAGTTCCCCAAATATGGCTGCACAATTGGAGGGGGCAAGCCAGGGCCTGTGCTGGGCTCTGGGGGCTCAAAACAGCTGCCCACTCTCCCAGGCAGCCAGTGTGAGTCACTAGGGGGGAAATAGCCCAAACTGGCAGTGTGGGAAAGGGAACTGGGCCAGTGAGTTCCTCTGGATCCCCAGGGCGTCAGGAGCAGGGCCCAGCCTGGGCTCCAAGCCTCCAGCCCTGAACCCCATGCTCTAAGCCAGACAAGGGCACAGAAAGATTGTCTCACCCTTTATAGGAGCAGGAACAGTCAAGGAAGCTAGAGTTTACTTTTGTTTTTGTCTACCCAGCTCTGAGCCTGTTTCTTCTTCAGCCCCAAAGTGAGCCCAGCTCAAGGATTTTTAACTTTTGCGGGGTAGGTGTGAGGATCCTTTCTATTCTTTAAAGACTGATGTGTTGGGAATTGAGCAGATCCTTACCACCCGGGCCCTCTGAGGTGTGGGTTCCCTATGAGCACAACATCCCACTAAGGAACAGAGGCTGAAGGTCCTTGGGGGGGGGGGGTGGAAAATCGTTTCTCCAACACACACAGCTGGTCTTCCTTGCCTTTGGATCCCTCTGCCTGTCCTTGTGCTTTTGTCTTTGGCCTAAGGGGACACATCTCTAGGGAACCTGAAGATCTGATGACTAGCCCCCTCTGTTGAAGCTGCTGGAGAGGGCATAACACGGACTAGGCCCCGCTGGAGAGACCAGCTCGGCCCCCAACTTCACCTGACAGCTGACGCCTCTTGCTAAAAACAGCCGGCCCTGGGGGAATATGGGCTTTCAAGCCTCCCCGCCCCCCATGCTCAGGCAGGTATTAAAAAGGCCAAAACCGGGGCAGGCGGGTTGGACACCATGCTATTCACCGAGACTGCCCACTTCGTGGTGGATTTTCTTCTGTCCCGGTGAGGGGAACCAAGGGAGGGCAGTGGCGGGATAGAGTCCTGGCCTGGCAGCACGGTTGGGGGTTGGACGGAGGGGGTGCCCAGTCCGGAAAGGTTCCGGGGATCTTGGTGGGGAGGAATCTCTGAACCCGCTTCCAGTCCCTCTAAATCGACCAGGAGTGATCCCGACCCACGCCTCGTCTCCTCGGATCCGAGTTGGCTCCCTCCTCCGGTCAGTCGTGCCCTCCCTGGGTGACACTGTCCGGCTCCCCCGCAGGCGGCCCCGGGCCACGCCCCCGCACCGCCTGGACCAGGATCTGTGTTTCTGGGGCAGCCGGGGCCCCACCTTGCCGGAGCCGGCCGCCCGCCGCAGCCTGGGCGACTACTGGCTGAGCCCGCAGCGCCATCGTCCGCCGGGCGCTGCCTGGCGCTGGCCCGCGCGCAACCTGACGCTGCTGCCGGGCGCCACGGGTCTGGCGGACGTGCCGTCGGCTCGCTGGCCTTGCTGCTACGGCGCGCGCCCGCGCCTCACGTGAGCGCCCGCGGGAACTGGCCCTGAGAAGGGGCGGGGCGAGGCCTGAACGGGGGCGGGGACTGAGGAAGGGGCGGATCCCCAAAGTTATGGACCACCAACTAGGAGGGGCGGGGCTGTTGGGGGAGGGCGGGGCTGTTGGGGAAGGGCGGGGCTGTTGGGAAGGGCGGGGCTGTTGGGAAGGGCGGGGCTGTTGGGAAGGGCGGGGCTGTAAGTGAGGGGCGAGGCTAAGGGGAGGGGGGGGGCCCAGGGGGGGGGGCGGGCCCTGAGGGCGTCAGGAAGGGGCGGGGCCGGGAGCACTGAGCCAAGACCCGCATTGTCCCTATCCTGTCTTATGTTCCCGCCCTCTAGGTGGAAACACCGTTGGCAGAACATTAACTACCAGTTCTTGGGCAAGAGGAAGAGACACCTAGTTCCCCTGCGTCCGTGAGAACTGGTGAGGTACAGGGCCAGAAGGGTGTGGTCTGTGGGCGGGACCTTGTGGAGGATGGGGTCGTGGGCGGGGCTTAGCTGGATGTGGGGAAGAGCAAGGCAAAGCATCACATGGGGCCCAGCCACCTTTAGCCTTGAGGCTGGAGGATATGAAGGTGTCAAGGTGCGTGGGAGGGTTCCCACAGGCTGGATGTGAGTCCCTGCAGAGTTATCCTTTCTTGTCCTTTTGCAACCACCACATATTTTTAAAAAGATTGACAGATATGACATTGAAATATCTAATCATCAGAAGACACTCAAAAAAGTAGAGTCCCAAACATAATGCCAGTTCTGTGCCCATCATAGGAAGTTTTGGGGACCAGGATAAGTTGTTTTCTAAGTACCAACTCAATCAGCCTCAGAGCAAGAGTGACTCCACCCCAAGGCCTAGTGATCAAACAGAATGAACAATGGGAAGGAAGACTGGGGATCTGGGAATCAGCTTGAAGGGTGCTGTCAAGGCAGTCATCTTGTGTGTGTCTGCATTCTTCAGATTTCTATGCATCTCTAAAGTCAGTGCCCACCTCTAAGTACAATTGTTTATCTGTGTGTCCATTTATTTACTCAATAAGGGCTTATTTATCAAGGGCCTATTTTGTGGTTTGTGCTTGGTTTATACAATGTGTTAATCACTGGGTTCACATTGGTGAAATAAATGGTTGGGGCCCCTGCCCTTGTAGAGCTTACACTTTGGTAAGGAGGTGAACCATAAAGAAGAGTTAGAGATAAACAGTGTGCTGTGTTGGAGACTAGGAGTGGGCCATCTCATATGGCTACTTCATATGAGATGGGTGGGGACTCTGTCTTGCTTACAAATCCAGAATAGTGCCTGACACATAGTGGAACTCAAAAATGTTGAAGGAATGCCTGGGCTGGTCAGGAGTTCCTCTCTGTGGAGGTACATCTTAAACTAACCTTGAAGGATGAGGATCCAGCCATTTCCAGCCCCTAAGAAAAGTATTTTGGGTGGAGGAAGCAGCTCATATCTGGTTGCTGACCTCTTGTCTACTATCATGGAGAATTCATGTTACAGAGCCTTTGTTCCTGTCTGTTGTCTGTATGATCTTGGATGCCCTGGGGCAGGTTTAGACAGGGCCCCTCCAGGGTCCCTAAAGGTGAGGTTATTGCTGAGCTGATTCACTCCACTGGGCAACTATGGCCTAACCAGCCCAGCCTGGCCTGGTCATTTCCCTGAAAACAATCTTTCCCTCAATGGCATCAGTCCCATGATTTCTGGCTCCCTCCCAGGGCATCATCCTGTGGCCTGTAAGGAAGTCCTTCACCCTGGCTAACCACAGTCCCTGCTGAGGTAACCTTGGCCTTGTCCTCTCATTTGGCCTCATGGAAGAGGGGTTAGATGGGCTAGGCCTGTAGCAGCAGGTCCTGCCTAGATAGAGAACACAGTAAAAACCTGACAGAATGAGGGTGACAAAACCTGGCAACCCCAGGCAAGTGAACCTCAAAAGACAGAGATAATCACTCATCTTAGGATCCTCTGTCACATCCATAATCTCATTTAATCCTTCAACACCCCACTTTATAGGCAGAGAGGAAAATAGTGGCAGATCTGGGACCAGCACCCAAGCGCTTGATAAAATAGTAATAAGAACTACTGTTCATTGCACGTTTCCTCTCTGCCAGGTACTATGCTAAAACTCTGCATACATTTTCTTCTTTAAGCCTAATCACAATGCTATGAAGTGTTGTCCTCAGACGAGGAGACTGGGGCTCACAGCCATTGAGTGACTTGTCCAAATACGCCAGCTAGTTCTCAACTGGACCAGTTTGGGCTCAGGGAGTTAATGTACTCGTGCGATACTTCCTGTGCCCTCGGGTTTCCATAGTAGCATCACAGATACCTGTTTTCCAGGGATTTGGGGACACAGGCTTCAGGCTTTTCACATGATGATCCCAAAGCAGACTTGTGCAGGTTGAGCAGAAAGCTGGCCTGGGACTGGCAGTACTGCGTGATCCACTGTCCCCTCTCTATGGATGAAGAATATCTACCTTTCCTCTCCCTCCTGGAGTCTCTGAGTTCCTGTCCTTCATGCCCCCAATAAAACACCTTCTGTCTCTCTTGGGCACTTTCCACTTTTTTGGGAGGAGGATGACCTGAGTTCTTTCTGGGGACATACAGGAGTTTACTGAACCCACAGGAGTGGGGGGCATCCTCCATTGCCTCACACTAAGTGCATCCCACCTCCAGTAGAGTAGATTGAATGAACCAGACCAGCTCCTGCTCCCCAGACTTTCCCCCTGCCACACAAAGGCAGAGACATACACTAGCTGACTAAAAGGTCTGAGGTGTGGGTGACAGAGTTTGTTTGGGGCACAGTGGGTCCTCTGATGGGTCAGCAAAGACTTCTAGGAGATCCCTGGAGCTGGTCTTGACAGGTGGGCAGGCACTGGGTGGGCATGCCCAGGAAGAAGGGCAGTGCAGAGGAAGGCTTGGCGATTTGTAGATTGAAGTGTTTGTCCCACTGAGGGAACCATGGGACTGGCAGCCAGGTGAGCCCTGCCTGAACTAAGGCAGTGGACCAGAGCTTCAGTGACTCAAAGGCCAGAACAAGGGATGATTGAACACTATGCAGGAGGAAACGAGGAACCATGATCTGGTTGAAGCAGGGGAGGGACATGGCTCAAGGAGTGGTCTCTGCCTCTTCATCGGGTTCAAGGCCTCAGGCTGTCTGTCCCTGTGGTTTCTCTTAAACACTGTCTCAGGTCCTGTCTGGGCAGTGGTCCTACCTGAGCCTCCCTGAAAGGTCTGGTGGGAGGTGCTGATGGCTAGAGGAAGAAGTCTTAGGGCTGTTCCCAGGAGCACCAGCTCTTGGGAACAGCAGACTCCCAATACCCCTCCCTCAGTGGAGCCCCGTCCCTGTGCTCCCCTGAACTTCTCCCCTGCCCTCTGCCCTCACCTAGATCATGCCACCATTGCCTTTGTTTGGAGCAGTCCAGTTGACTCTTCCCTGGGTTTCTTGTCCCCAGCTCTGTCTGCTCCTATCTGTGTCCACCTGAGCCTGTTTGTCTGTGTCTTATGGGTGCCTGTGGGACACCAGGGTGACCTCCAAGAGCTGCTGGAGTTCTAGACAGACATCCGGGTTAGAGATCCAGACTTCGGTTATTAGCATATAGATTCTCTCAGATACACATGGGGGGAGGCAGAGATCTTTTTTTCTCTGTCCAACACAACTTTCTCTCTAGATACAGAGATCTAAATGACATCCCAAAGGCACCTTAAGTCATCCTGACCCAAGCAAACCACTCTTTCCACATGTAACCCTCTGATCTTGGTCTAGGTTTCCTGTGTGGGGTTCCTCACTCCTCAACCCAGTCACCCATGCCAGACGCTTAGTACCATCTTCAGCCTTTCTTCCTCCTCATCCTAACCTCCTTTCCCACATCCTGTCCTTCTGCCCCTGAACATCTCCTTATCTCTCTCCACCTTCCTCCACCTTTTGGTGCCATTTAAGAAGGTAAATCACTCATTTCCTTTGCAAACCATTTCTTCCTTCAGCCTTGAAGACACCCCTGCTTCTTATTCGTTCCCTCTTTATTGGCCACTACCAAATCTCCCTGCAGACTCCCCTCCCAGAGTATGAATATTGGAGAGTTCTGGTTCTGTCTTCTTGAGCCAAGTTTTTTCTCTAGTGGGACCTGATGGGGTCCTCATGGCTTCAAGCATGTTACCTCAAGAAGGGGCCTCTCCTCTGAAAAAAAATAGGCTTCCCTGTACATTAACTGCTAGTCTGCCATCTCCATGGGTCTCCCAGGCATCTCCACCTTGAATTGCAAGGGCACACTCTTAAGCCCAGCACAGAGAGCAGCAGGAACAGTGATCTCAAGCATTGCTAATATTGGCTGCTGTCCCTATTGCCCTTCCTGCAGGCCACATCATCTCTAGCCTGCAACAAGCCTGTCTTGTTTCCCTGCTGCACAGTAGGGAAGGAGGATAATCAGGTAGAGGGGACTCTGCCTGCACAAAGCAGAAAAAGCAGGAAGGAGAGTGAGGTGTGAGTGGCTGGGGTCCCAGATTATGTGACAGGGCTGGGTAGTGAAGACTTTAGTGCAAGGTGCAGGCTTGGTCCTGAGAGCAGGAGGGAACAGACAAAAACCAAGAGGAGTATGTTAGATTTCACATTTCTTTATCCCCTTCATTCATTCCTTCACTCATTTACTCCATTTATCAACAAATATTGGCAGAGAGTGTTGCTGAGTGGTAGGGCACATGAGGTTCTGGTTTTGATACCAGCACTGGGGGGATGGGGGGGGAGAGAGAGAGAGAGAGAGAAATTTATTGAGAGCCTTCTATTGGACAGTGACTCTGAGATAGTGGAGAACAGCTAGAGAGGCAGGAGTAGTGGCAGAGAGACCAGTGAAAAATGATAACAGTTCAGCCTGGGTGAAAGAAGGGTCTTGCTTAGGGCATTGCTCCTGGAGGTGGAGATGGGGCAAATAACAAGCTGAGATGGCAGCGTGGTAGATCAACCCTGATTCCTGGCTTGGGAAACACAGTGGGAAGTGCTAGTGGGAGGCCTGTACCCAGAGGCAGGGAATGTGCTTTAGGGAATCTAGAAATGGTCTCAGGAGTGGTTTGATATGAGTAAATGGCAAGTAAATGGCTTCTAGACTAAAAGAATGGCATGTTCAAAGGCCTTGAAGTTGAAGGAAGCCCAGTTCTGAGGAACTGAAAGGCTAGTAGTTCCGTGGGACAAGAAGAAATGAGGGGGATGGGACTGGGAGCTTGATCTTCAGTCTGAGGAGCAAACTGGGAATAGATCACCAGGAATGTGAGGCCTCCCTTCACAGAAGGTGGAAAGGAGAATTTAAGAAGGGCTGGGAGGGGACACAGATGAAGTGTGTCTTGTGGGGAGGCACTGAAGCATGTCTCTCTGGGAAAAGTCACTAAAAAGAACACCCAGCCGGATACTTTGGGGTTGTAAGAGGAGAAGGAGAGTGTCTTTTTTCAGGGTTCTGGGGAAGAGACATATTTCTTTAGCATTTAAGGAATTAATTGAAGCCAAATAAATCCTACCCCACTCTCCAAACAATTCAGCAACCTTAGAACAGCCTGATCAGTCCCTCTACCACCTAGCCTAGAAAGAAGGTGCTGGAAGAGCCGCAGGGCTGTCTCAGGCTGTCCAGGTCCCCACCTTCTCCCTCTGGGTCACACAAGAAAGAGAAGGGAAGGCAATCGTCCTCTGGCCCAGAATTTCCCACAGTGGCACCCTGGAACATTACTTAATGCCTCTGGGCACCCTGTGCCTTCAGGGCTGGGTTTTAGGGCTTCCTTTGATCATGTTAACCCCTTTATCTCACAATAATCCTACAGAATTGGTACTGTGGTCATTTTATAGTTGAGGGGATTGAGGTTTGGAAAGGACCTAAGACCACACAGTGAAGGAGCAACCAGAAGTGACCCAAGTGACTCCCAGGGTGCTCACTATACAGAGTGGTTAGAGCGAGGCTTAAGGGGAAGGGCTTTTCCAGGGTCTCTGGAGGTAGGAGAATGTGGTCCAAATTACTCTGGGCAAGAGGCTGAATGGGAAAGTGAGGGGATGAAGCTGGAGCTCATGGGGGAAGGAGTGGGATTGGAGCCTGAACTGGGGGGAAGTTTCAGTTTCTTTTCCCCTTTTTTTTTTTTTTTTGGTATCAAGGATTGAACTCAGGGGCACTCAACCCCTAATCCACATCCCCAGCCCTTTTTTGTATTTTATTTAGAGACAAGGTCTCACTGAGTTACTTAGCACCTCGCTGTTGCTGAGGCTGGCTTTGAACTCAGGATCCTCCTATCTCAGCCTCCCAAACCACTGGGATTACAGGCTCGTGCCACTGTGCCCAGCTCAGTTTCCTTTTTGAAGCGACTTCCCCTAAGATGGGGATTTTGGTTGGAAAGTTGTAAGCAATACACATTCTACTGGTTTGGCCATTCCTTTCTCAAAGACACCCATGATCTGAAAAGAAACTAAAAGTCAGGAAGAGGTGAGGAGTGAGTCAGGAAAGTCTCATTGTGGCCCAGATAAACTGGGTTGAATTTCTGTTTACCTCATCAGGCCTTGGGTAGGTAAGCAGGTGAGCTGGGAGCACATGCCTTTTTGCTAATAGGAAATCTGCACCCCAGAGACAGCTCTCTTGGGTAGTGACTGGCACCACTGGTTTAGGCAGCCCCCACCAACATCCTCCCCTCCACACACATCTCTCTCCCTCTTCAGGGGAAGGAAGAGGAAAGAGAGAAACCAAAGTTCTGGGAGGCCTTAAATTCTGAAAGGGATTTCTCAGAATTCCTGTCCTTGTGATTTGGTGACTGGATAGTGTGTCCCAGTGAAGGACCCTTGAGGAGGCCCAAGGACCATACCAGGGTTCAAGGCCTATAATTAGCAGGTGGGCTGTGGACAACCAAGCCAGAGTCAAGGGAGCCCGGGCCCATGGGGAGCAGCCCTGGTTCTGGGAGTTGTGCCCTGGAGGCCTGGCCCTGTGCCTTGCCCACCACCACCACTGCTCTTCTCAACCTGAAGCACCTCTAGTTGCCTCCAGCCGAGCTGAATGCTTAGGGCTCCGAAAAACCACTTTTCTCCAGTCCTGCCCTCCTCCTTTTATCTTTCTTTCTTTCTTTTTTTTTTTGGTACCAGGGATTGAACCAGAGGTGCTTAACCACTGAGCTACATCCTAGACCTTTCTTATATTTTATTAGAGACTGAACTCACTGAGTTGCTTAGGGCCTTGTTAAGTTGCTGAGGCTGAGTTTGAACTTAAGTTCTCTTGCCACAGCCTCCCAAATCACATGCACCACTGGGCCCAGCTTTATCCTTTTATCTCGCTCACATCCACATCCGTCTCATCAAGATTTGGTTTCCTCCTGTGAATGGGAACCATGATGGTGCACATCTCACTGGGTCCTGAGGTCATGTATGGAGAGCTGTCAGTACATGGCTGTGCATACAGCAAGCACATCACCAGTGCTAACAGTCATGACCAGTATTACTGTTGATTTTTCCTGCCTTTCTATAAATCTCCCCAATGCTTGGGAATCCCCATGATTCTCTACTCCAGGGTTCTTC